ATCCACCTTCTCTGTAATTTAATGTGCTCTCCTCATGTTATCTGGTATACAATGTTAAAGCTCATTTACTTCTCAGGTATTTGCTACATCCCCACTGAGGTGAGAAAACACACACAACTACCTTTTGTTTCTTATGAGCTGGACAATGTTTTTGTATTAAGGGCATCTCATAACCCTCCCGACAGAGAAAACATGGTCCTACACCATTTTCATATGGCTTCTCTTGGATAGGAACAGCACAACAGAATTTACACAACACACAGTTCAGATTTGTTCCAACTTTTCATTTTATTGAAGTGTCAACATGTGAAAAATACTTTCCTCGAAGCACACATGCCAAGTCCCAGGCATCATACGTGGCCCTCACAAATGTGCAGCACCTGACACTCCTTTACTCCACCCGCTTCCAGGTGGGTCTCTCTGCGGTTATTGAGTGTCACACAACAGACAAAGCTGGTCAGGTCTTGTGCAAAAAGAGCTTGCCAGAAAGAAAAATTTGCCTCCGCAGGTACCAACACAGCCCTTCCCCTATTGTGTGACTACCACACATGCTGATTATATGACCCAACGGCTTATATGTCAGGAAACGAGAGAAGCGAGCAGTCTTTCAGCAAGTGGCAGCCTCCAGTGCCTAGCATTTGCAGGATACCTTCACTACAAAACTGAAATGGGTGTTCAGAAAAAAAAAAAATCTTTATCCAATTTTACACAGTGCAGAGCTTGAAATATGCAATGCTATTATGCTTCTGTAAGTTAAACTATGGCAGGGCAAGATCCTCAACAATTACGCTTCTGAGCTATATTCAGCATCCAGGCTGGACATCCTCCATAGTTTGCAAGTAAAACAAGTGAGATACAGTTAGAAGAGCACATTAAAATTTGATAAAGAAAAGGTCTCAAAATGTATTATTGGATTCCTATCCAGAAGTACTGCAGGAACACAGACCTGGAAAAGTGGGTATGACATTAAACCACTGACTACATTTCCAAGTGAATGCTTTTGCGTGGATTCTCATTTGGTCATCCTTCATTGCTTTTGTTTTGTTGAGGGATCTGCTGCAGACTAATGCTGCGGGCTAGAAAATTTCCAAGCATATCACCCAAGCAAAATGAAAGTCTCAAGTTTTCACCTTGGCCATTTCACAAACAGAAACAGTATTATTACTTCCAAAGCGAAAAACAGGAGTAAAACAATGGTCACATTTATACTTAGCAAAACTGTTCTCCAGTACATCCGTTTGACAACAGCTGAACGGTGTTCTTAAACAAAATTCTTTACATAATCCTATCTCAGATAACTGACATGGAAGTATCGCTTAGGGTCTGGGCTACGTCTTGAAAATCTTGTGCAATCTTACAGTACCTTAATCAAATTAACGTTCAAGCTCCAGCTTTGTGTTTCTTTACATTCTTATTTATTTGAGGACTTTGGAATGGCTTGTAATACGTAACTGAAGAAAGCAAAGGAAGGGAAATAAAATACTTAATACCACTTCTCCTTCCAGCAAAATAATTATATTTAATGACACAGTAACTATCCTCAGATCTGGAAATACGCTAAATTCTGTAATGAAAACCTATACAATACGCACTATTTCTGCACATGTTGAAAACTTCACTTGGACAAAGAGCTGTCATATCCCAGCATTGTGGCCAAGGCCAGAAACAAGTAATGACACTTGAATAAACACGATGATTTCATGAGAATACACAGGTTGCCACATAAAATTACCAATGAAGATTATCTTCTAACATTTTCAGTGCTTGGAGGACAGTCTTTGTGGCATTAGTGATATAATTGCCTGACAACAATCACTCTCTTTCTACAACTCTCCAGGCTAACAGAAGACTGAGGGATGAGGTAACCTAGGAGAAATGCTGACTAACGTTGTCAGTAGATACTGGTGTTAATCCTTTTCACTTCTCCTACACTCTTAGCCCTTTCGTCTCAATCCCTTCCTAGCCTCCACTTTTCAAGTGCTGCAGGCTGTCTTCTTGTCATAAAAATCACTAGAATGGATGTCTTGAACTTTTGTTTCCGCATGATTTGCTCCACACACTTGGTAGTGCAAACTGTTCCAGAGGGAGTGACTATTTCTGTTGGCTTGTTTAAAACAGGGTACAGGAAACATGCTGCTTTTCCAAGTCATGTCAGTCTTGGTCTCATGAACTGAGATGGGTGTTAGGATTTTCCTCATTTCCTGCTCACAAGCTGCAAGCCTAACTTGTTCTCTACATTGCAGCACAGTTCCAGTGCAAATCCAGGCCAGAAGAACATCCTGTGGGGCTACCTGGTCATCCGTTTCAAATGGCCTTGGAACACAAAAGCCAAGGCAGCTCAGCACTTGTGTTGGGTTTGTGTGGCAAGGTTTTGGTAGCAGGGGAGCTACAGGGGTGGCTTCTGTGAGAAGGTGCTAGAAGCTTCCCTTATGTCCCATAGAGTCAATGCCAGCCGGCTCCAAGATGGACCCGCCGCTGGCCAAGTCCAAGCCAATCAGTGACAGTGGTAGTGCCTCTGTGAGAACATATTTAAGAAAGGGAAAAAAACTGCTCTGCAAAAACAGCACCCAGAGAGAGGAGAGAGAAGATGTGAGAGAAACAACTCTGCAGACACCAAAGTCAGTGAAAAAGGAGGAGGTGCTCCAGGCGTTGGAGCAGAGATTCCCTTGCAGCTCATGGTACAGACCGTGGTGAGGGAGGCTGTGCCCCCAGTCCCCCTGTGCCCCTGCTGGGGAGGAGGTAGGGAACTCAGGAGTAAAGTTAAGCCTAGGAAGAAGAGAGGAGTGGGAGAAGGTGTTTTTAAGATTTGCTTTTATTTCTCATTATCGTACTCTGATTTGATTGGTAATAAATTAAATCAAGTTTTCCCCAAGTTGAGTCTGTTTTGCCTGTGACAGTAGTTGGTGAATGATCTCTCCTTGTCCTTCTCTTGACCCACAAACCTTTTGCTCTCTTTTCTCTCCCCAGTCCAGCTAAGGAGGGGGAGTGGTAGAGCGGCTTTTGTGGATACCAGGCGTCTAGCCAGGGTCAACCCACCACAGCACCTTTTGAAATGCATTCTTCTTCTTCAAGAAGAATGGAAAGTAGGTTTCCTCTTCTCTAGAGCTGTTAATAAATTACATACTACTGCCGGGTTCTTCTCTTATCATTAGTACCGATATTTTCCGGGAATAGAAATTGCTGAGGCCCACCTGAAGAAAACCCAGGAACACTTGCTGCTTACAGTCCACATGGGTGCCCTCTCTTCACAAAGGACAGAAAGGCAAGCAGACCTCTTCCAGCAGCTGACTGAGCATTAATCAACTCATCTCTGTGTGTCTCTCTCTCCTGAACCTGCAGTGTTAGACTCTAGCAGTTGAAACTTCAACTGCACTGAAAACAATACATGACCATTATGCCCAGTAGTACCTCTCCAAAGCCAACTCACCTCTGAACCTACTAGCAAGGCCCCATGTGGCACTGGAACATGCACTCCAGAGCACTGAAAAAGCACTACGCACACAAGCACTGCCAGGCCTCCCATGCACATGCTGCTCTTCTGCAGGTTCTAAAAAAAGCACCCAGGGAGGGGGAAGGTGAGCAGGATGCAGAGTACCTTATGCCTCTGGTCACTACCAGGATCTGCTCTTTCAGAGGGGTACAGACAAAGCGAGAGAGTCAAGAGATGACCTCTGAAAGAAAGACCATGCAATTGTTTCGGAAAAGCTCAGAAAAATAACAGATTGACAATGTACAGATTAAGGCCATAAGCAAAACTTCACAAAAAAACAAATGTCTCTGTGTAGCTTGAATTGTACAAAGTAAGTAATTTTAGATTTATCTGTACAGTATCACATACCGCATAGCAAAAATACTGACATCTTTCCCATTTTGAGACACCTTTCAATGTAGTAATTGCCAGGACTGGTAATCCTTTGCTTCCTTTCTGCCTGCACAAAACCCAAATCCATCTCCTATGTTATTTATACATAATGAAAAGAAAGAACTCATAAACTATAGTGACATTAACTGTAATCAAGACAATTCACCAAGTAACATGATACTGGAAGTAGTTTTACAGTGTTACTGGGGGAAGGGAGTGTGCTGAAACAGGACAGTTACACTTTCTGAATATGTAGGATTTTGAAGTGAAGCTGAAGGGAAAGCTAAGTGAAACTGAAAAAAATCCAAATTTGAATGTTAGTGGGGATATATATTTTCTCACTCTTCAAAGCCTGAGCCTTTTTTCCCTAGAAAATATAGATAAAGAGTCAAATACTCCTCAGAATCTCTTTAAAATTGCACAATATTTAATAATTGCACAATAACTTGTTCACCTCTTGCAGTGAAGGCTGAACGGAAATCCAAAAAATTCACTGTGGTAAAAGTCTTTAGTCAGCAGAAAGTGCTTTGAAGAAAGCCATAGGAACTGGAAGGAAATTTCCAGCACCTGCAGTTTTTGGCTACTGGTGGGTAAAAGAAAGTAAAGTTTTGGGGTGTGCTGAAACCTTCGAGGTGAGAGCTGATTTCGCAGTAATTTTTTAAGAGATCTACAACCACTTGCTCATTAACAGCTATAAGGAAAGCAGAACAGCAGTATTAATTTCCGTGCAAAAATTCATACGCTTGTGTGTCATGGCTGCATCCCAACCCACCCTTTTGAGTCCAAGATTTTGCAGACATAGGAAATAAGGCTCTCGCTAGATATGAGGAACAGTCTCAGACTGCTTTGCCCCATGTTGTTGCCAAGCTGTTGATTTCCTCTTCCTTTCCTTAACACTACTGAGTATGAGCTTTAACCTCATTTAGCCTCCAAATTGTTTGTTTCTTCTAATAATTCCACTCCTCATATTGCTTGCAAGACAGTTAAATGGAAAAAAAAAGTTTTCTGGTTGAAGTCTGGGTGTTATATTCTATTTCTAGATGTAAGTATTTGGGTTTCCATCTGCTCTCAGAAAACTGTGTGGGAAATGAGCTGATGACCTGTTTCCACAGAAGTAGGTACCACATACAAAAGGACTTCATTCTGCATGTTTACCACAAACCCACCGAAGCTGCTGCTCTGTTTGGAGGTCAGTTAATTCATCAATGGATCTCCAGCTGCACTGACAGGCATATGCTCGCGCTCCTTTCTTCTTTATCATCTTCGCTCTTAGTTTACTGAGCTCAGGCATGTTATTCCTGCCAATTAAGTGAATTCAGTTTAGGATCATGCTTTTTTTTTTTTTTTTTTTTTAATAAAAAAGATACATTGGGCCATTTCAGTTCAGAAAAGCTCTTAAGAACATTTCTGAGTACCACTGTTACAAAAGAATTTAGGGATATGTTTAAATTCTGTTTTGAACACAATCCTTCCCTGTGAGCAATCTCGGTGCATAGTTGCTGTATTCTCAGATAACTGGAGATTGATGTTTTTGTAAGCCATGTTCTCTGTCGGGTTTAGAGACCCTGGATCATTCTCCAGAGAAAGATCTGGGAAGAACACCAGGTAGAGTTAATTATCATGTTAAGAAATTATAAAAAATTGTATTTATCTTACCAAACTTACTGTAAAAATCCCTATGCAGAATGGGTACAACTACAGAGTTAAACTTCTCATCAGAAACTGTTACATCAGGATGATTGTTGAAGTGACTGAAATGAAATGGCCGTAAGAGAGAAGAATGTACATCAAATTCCTGTGCAAGCATCAACCCCAACAAATGAAAAATCAGCATGGCTATTACAAAAACAAGTTGTTTCAAAAAACAAGTGAAAATTTAGCATTTTAACTATCCCTGCTCTCATGACCTCCTGCTGCCATCAATTACTGGCCACTGAATTGCTCAAAACCAACATTAACAAGCCCACCTACATAAAGAAAACCCAAAACAAACATCAAAGGAAGAATTTTTAGAAAAAGGAAGTCAGACATCTGTTCATGGAAGGCAAATGTTTAATCTTTAAGTTTTCTTTTTAAAATTCAGGTTAACCAAAAGAAATAGCTAAAGATTACAGATTTTAATCAATGTTGCAAGTATTTGATACTAATGCCTTTCGTGTCTTTTTTTTTTTTTTCTTATTTTTATGGATTTCAAGACCTCAGAAGCAGAATAATTTAGGCTTTAAGTAAATAAAAAAATCATATTCTTATTTAACCTTTCCAGCCTTTAATCTCAGGAGACTAGTGTAGCACTGTATTTTTAATGCTGCTTTAAATAATAGTGAAACAAGATTTGCATTCAAAGAGAAATACAAATTTCGAAACTGAAAGGAAAATACAGGAAAAACCTAACATGTAATACAAGAGAAATAACGGAAAAGGAGTTGAAGTGGCTGTGACTGTTCTGTTCCAGCTGTCACGCGCCCTGGTGGCCAAGCACAGACTGAACATACCCACTGCCTCCATCAGGTAATGGACACATACAGAGCCCGTACTAAAACAAGAGGAATCAAAATTCGGTGTCTGTACTAGGAGCATGCCTACTATACTACCCTTCCCTAAGTCTTGGCATTAGGTATAGTTCTAGAGAAGCTGGAAATAAGAACTCCTTAATTTAAGTCTTCAAAAAAATTGAAATAATTAAAGTCAAAGACCTCACAATATTACAAGAAAACAAAAGTCTCATCCCTCTATTTAATCAAACCTTGCTTCAAAAAGAAGTCTGTTAAGAAATCAAACTATTTGATTTTCACTGAACATGACAGCATAATTCTTGATACTTGAAAACATAAAATCTGACTTGAAACAATCAGTCTGTATGACTGAAGGAATGGTGAGAAGTACACGCTGAACAGTCCTGCATTCATTTTGTAGGCTTCCTGCAATGGCACACGAGAGGCCAACCTATCACACAGATTATCTGCGTATTTCAGCAGTAAAGTTGCCTTTTGATCCATTAAACTTCAATTCTTTTTAAAAGCATAGAGGGAGAATGATGGAGGAAGAAATGGAAAGGCAGGAAAACAGATTGTGGGAGGTGTTGCACCCCTCTCCCAGCAGACTTTCCCACCTGATCACCGAACAGGTTGCATATGCTCTCCTTTTTAGGTAACAGAGGAGTGGTCTGGACTTCTCATCTTTCCTGTTCCTATCAAGTCCCAAAGCACAGTAACACAATACTTAACGCCAAACCCACCTCAGACATACCTGAAAAAAAGATAATCACAGGACTGATCCCAGATGTAGTCATTGAAAAGTGACACATGGAAGTCACAAGCAGTACAACGTAGTCGATCACACGTTCTGGTCAAAAAAGAACAGAAAGTTCCAAGAGCTTATTACAATCAGAGAAGCTACACAGGTCATAATGGTTGTAAAGTACAGTGCTTACTCAGAAATACTAGAAGCAAGGTTACCCTGTAATTAATTTTTTTTACATATCTGGCCTGGCCCATTCATTATGGTATGTGTTTTAACTATATGATCATGTATTATTTTTACAGGCTCCTAACCTCGCTGAACACATAAAATAAACCGATATTCTCTTGATACATTCTCTTTGGTCCTCCTCCCTGGTGTGGCATTTGATCAGCATCCAAATATGCATCAAGTGCATAATTACTTACTACAAAAAATCCTACATGGAAATGCAATAATGTTATATAGGATGTTGGGGATAAATCTTTAAAGTACCTCTCCTACTGAGTTCAGCTGCAGTTGCAAAGCACTCTGGCTATTTTCAGTTCAGGCTCTGTGATGATTTAAACCAGCTCACTGATTTAAGTGACATACTTGGCATCACATAGAAAGCTGAAGGGAGGCAAGAAAAAATAACAATACCCTACAGCAGCAATTTCCTTAACTCCATGTTTTGGACTTTTGGAGTCTCTTATCTCATTTGCACACGTCTTTCAACTCTCAAATGAACAAAAGATCTATGAGTCAACAACAGAAGACTGGAAGGGACCAGCTGACTTCAACTGCAGCTACAGGCAGGCACGTGTTCAGATGAATGCAGGGCTGTCCTGTCGAGTTCAAACACAGAACGCTGGAGACACAGTTGTGAATAAAAATAATGGCAAAGCAAGCAGAACTTTTCATGTTTCCTACCTTTTTGAAGTATTTGTTCCTATGCCATTTGGTGAAGAGCTTCCACCCAGGTACACTGGACAGCATCTATATGGATTTCATTAAAAACCAGCAAATTATAGCAAAACATTTTGGAGAAAGTAGTACAATACGTCTCTTAGTTTAACAGCATGGTATTTCTAAAATAATATTTATTAAATATAGGCAAAGCATTCAAATGCCTATAAACTATAGAATTTTAAAATTTTCATTACCAAGGTGTTCAAAGAAAAACTTTATGACAACCACTGTCTATACCAAATATATACAGGACTATATACTGCAGCATTTGATAAATGTATATGCCCCTAAGGCAAAGTATGCTGCTGTTTAATAACTTAAATAGTTAATAAATTTATAACAACTAATTTTGACCACATGAAAGCACATTAGTAATTCTTCAAAATTATTTTTTTATTTTTTAAATAATGCTTCTCTAAGCAGTCTTTTTCTTAGTTAATGTCAACACAGATTAAACAGTAGCAATATTATCAGACTGACAAGTTATGATCAAGCTATGTTCAACTAGATAAAACATTTTTCACTTACCTTTTCCTGTGAGCTTGTATAACAGCACTATTGCTTTCAGGTGTGCGACTTGCAGAGTTAGACTTCAATTTCTATTTAAAAAGCAATCAAAGAATAAAAGGCAGCATTACAGCAAGGTAACAATATTCTGTTCTACTTAATAATCAGGAGCCACAAAATCCCAGTCACACCAAAAGGGGACTAAGAATCTGGCAATTTTCTTGCTCAAGTTTCCGTGAGGCTCTTTGAGACAAAAGCTGCTGAAGTAACAGATAAATGAAGAGCGAGGCTTCTCTTCCCATACTGAATTCCCAGCTCTGCCTGAAGGAATCCAACACCACATGATCACTTTGACTTTACAATCAAGACTTAGTATTTCATGCCCTCTTTTTAATAATTTTTGCTTTTAGAAACAGTTTTAATTTAGGAATCTTCTCCCTCAGTGTTCTTGAGCTTTTGTGTTACTGAAAACACATCAAGGATTTGTATTATTAAAAAAGATAAAGTGTCTTTGAAAAGTTTCTTATTTGCTGCACAAAAACCAGTTTGACTTCAAGAATACTGGAATTCTAGATCCTAAATGGGAAGTCCTAGGGATATAAAATAATAAAATTATACAAATTTACTGACATAATTCTCTCTCACTCAGACATACATATTGTGGTATACAAGTGTTTTTGGTTGGTTCAGATTTAGCCACTCTAAGAAATCAAAGACAAACAAAGCAAAACCAACGTCACTCAGAAAAATAAATGAATCTGCATAGGGGTTTACAAAGTATAAATAACAAAATTTTCTACCAATGATACCTAAATTAATATCTGTTTTCAATGTCTTCTATCACTCTGACTGTCTTGACAATGTAAAGTTGCAGCTTCATCTCCACCTCCTGCTGTCAAATGATGGAAGTCATTTGCAGATGATACAAAATGGGGAGCAGTGGTTGGCATGCCAGATGACTGCGCTACTATTCAGAGGGACTCAACAGACTGCAGAAATGGTCTGAGAAGAATCTCTTGAAGTTCACCTAAGGGGAAATGCAAACTCCCACCCCTGGGGAGGAATAACCCTCATGCACCAGAACACACTGAGGGCTGACCAGCTGGAAAACAGCTTTTCAGAGAAGGCCATGGGAAATGTGGTCGCTGGTAAGTCGACCACGAGCCAGCAGTGTACCCCTGCAGCACAGAAGGCCAGCAGCATCCTGGGCTACATTAGGAAGTACATTGCCAGCAGGTGCAGGGAGGCGATCCTTCCTCTCTACTCAGCACTAGTGAGACTGAATCACACTAATTTCTGTCGGAAGGAACCTCTTGAGATCATCTAGGCCAGGGTCAGCTTCAGCAGCTTGCCCAAGACTGTGTCCAGCTGGGTTTTGAAGGTCTCCACAGAGACTCCATAACCTCTCTGGGCAGCCTGTCCCAGTGTGTGACCATGCCCACAGTAAAAATGTACTTTCTTGTGTACAGATGGAATCTTGTGTGTTTCAGTTTGTGCCCACTGCATATTGTCCTGAGACTGGACACTACAGAGGAGTGTCTGGACCCTTCTTTGCTCCTCCCATCAAGTATTTATACACAGATTGATAAGATCCCCCTGGAGCTTTCTCTTCTCCAGGCTGAACAGTCCCAGCTCTCTCAGCCTCTCCTTATATAAAAGATACTGCAGTCACTTTAATCATCTCCACAGCCCTTTGCTGGAGAGCCTTCAGCTCCATCTCTCTAGGGAGCCCAGAACTGGACACAGTCCTCCAGATATGGCCTCATACACATGACTGGAGTGCTGTGACCAGTAAAAAAGAGACATGGACATAATGGAGTGGGTCCAGCAAAGGACCATATGAAGGCGATTAAGGACTTGGACCATCTGCCATACAGGTAGAGGCTGAGAGAGCTGGAATGGTTTAGCCTAGAGAAGACAAGTGTCAGGAGAATCTTATCAATGCATAAAAATACAAGATGGGGAAGAATAAAGATGTAGCCAGACTCTTCTCAGTGGGGAGGAGAGGCAACGGGCACAAATTGAAATACTAGAAATTCCAGTTAAACATATGAAAAAAAAACTTCTTTACTTCTTGAGAGGGTGGTCAAAAACTGGAACAAGTTACTTAGAGAGGCTGTAGAGTCTCCACCCTTGGAGGTATTCAGAAGCCATTTGGATGTGGTCCTGGGCAACCAGCTCCAGATAGTCCTGCTTGAGCAGGTGGTTGGATCAGATGACCTCCAGAGGTCCCAACCTCAACCATTCCGTGACTCTGTGATAATTAACACTATGGTCTATCTTGAACTAGCATTTGCTTTAATTGCCTGTTACTGCCTAGGTAAGACCATCTTGTATCTCTCCTCTTCCTCACTATAGGACTGCTGCATTTTCCTTTCTGCTTTTTTTTCCAAGTTTATCCTACAGCTTGTTTTAGTTCCTATTTTGCTTTAAACCAGTTTTAGTTTATGGTGCTTTTCTCTCCATCGCTGAACCTCATCCATTCTGGATTTCTCCAGACTCCTACTCACCACAGGTGTTCTGGTGAAGCTGCTGTCGCTACAGATTTCATCAATAATGTCATCTATATCTTCTTCACTGCTTTCAGCACTCATTAACAGTTTAGCTGATCTGAAAAACAAACAAGTCAGCCTTCATTTTGTAGCATGACCAGAGCAGTTCTAAGTTAAAACATAAAACTGGTTACAGCCTTTGTCCTCTAATATTCCTTTAGTATCTAAGGTAGGCTATCCAAATCATGACTGGACAGATGTAAACTGCAGGATGATGCCTTTCAGTCCCTGTTGAACCGTCCCATCATAGGTCGTTTTTTTGCTTCCTTCTTTTATCTCCAGCCCTGAAGAAAACTATGATAATATAACCCATGCTGCACTTATTGAGCAACAAATTGGACAACCCTGATTTTTCACATTAATCTTCAGCAGCAATAAAAATTTCAGAGGGAGTTCTCTCCTCATGCTATACAACCACAAGGGGTCTGAAGGAATTCCTGCCAAACTGTATGAATTTAGAGAGATTGCCTGCACTTCGCTTTCACTCACACGAGGAGCCTTGTCGCTCAAGTGTGCTGTTTGCTAGCTCTTTGTCAAAGAAAGGGAGGCCTGTAGCACTGCTGCATCAACCAATTGAGAATATATCTACTCCTGAGAAAGAAGAAAACTGTGATTTTTTTACAGTCAGACTGACTAAATTTAGGTCCTCATCTAACCATTATGCAAACAACAGGGAAGTCCCATAATGTGGCCAAAGGTAGTGGGGTTGCTGGTCTTTTATTAGTCATTTGGCTCTTCAAGATCCGTGTCTGAGACTCTGAGACGCCTGTTGGTAAGTGCTCAGCAGCCCACCTGTGGAGACACCTGGCCCAGCCCCTCTGGTCCACAGACCGTCCAACTGGAGTGTGAGACACCTGTGAGGGCCAAAAGGGAAATCTGAGGGTTGGGATGGAAACCTGAGGGCAGGCAAAGGCAGCTGTGAGGGCTGGGATGGCAGCGACGTGGCAGACTGCGTGGTGGTGGCTGTCACCAGGGACCCTGTCACGACTGAAACTGTCGGTATTCGGACCATCATTCTGAAAATTATGAAATCTGAGGTGGATACATGGAATTGTAGTGTAGGGTGTAACTTACACCCTACTTACTAGTGTGTGCTTACTACAGAAGATATGGTTAATAGAAAAAGTATGAACAGAATACATAAATGACTTAAGTATCAACACAATAAAATGTCGGATAATAGTCTTTCTAAAGTTCTTCCCGTTCTAAATCTCAGATTTATGGATATTTTATGTATCATGAGGTCACTTATTCAGCTAAGTAGCCCCTGATCCTAACCCCCAAGCAGATCAGTGCAGCTTTTAACGCCATCTTTAATCGCCGTTGCGATACTCCACAGAGACAAAGACTGTCCGAACTAACTCTGCCCTCTGGCACACGACCCGGGTGTTTAAAAATCAGTAAGACAGGGGATACTCGCTGACCACCAGCCAGTGTTGCGGTTCCCGAACCTGGGTATTCTCGGTTCCTGAGGGGTCTCGCCCTACGCCGATCCCCTCCCTCCCCACAGGGCGGCTGCGCAACA